TTTCTATATTACACTAAATTTTGCCACCTCTTTCATATTAAGGATGATCCTCACCCAAATTTTTCCAAATTTTTTCTTTGATGATAGTTTAGAAGAGGATCATCCCTATTTAAGAAATTTTATTTCCTGAATTAGAAATAATATTCTAAAACTGAAATTTTGCCATGTTTTGCTATAATGGTTGGTTTAGATGACTTGATCTGTACTAATATTGGGATGATTATATTACGAATATAAACCCTAATTGCAGCATATACAATATAGAAATCAATTGTCACACAAGCCTGTCTGTAACTTTTTTTGTAAATGTTTATGCAACCAACCCTCCATAAGTGAAGGCCTTGGGACCTGCATTTGTAGAACAAAGTATTTATTGACACACATGATACTAATAAAAAAGAAAAAATTTATTTATTTATTTATTTTAGATTTATCAAGAGCATTAAAATTGTTCATACAAGAAGAAAATTTTAAACTTTTTTAAGTTTTGGCATTTATTATCATTGGCTCAATATCATCATCCTTGTCATCTTCAATATCTTCAGTGGTGACAGAGCTCTTATAGTTGGAATTATTATTATTATATATAAAGGAATAGGTAACAATATAATTATATTGTTATCTATTTATGTTAGACTGTTATCTTAGAAATTTCAAATCAATCTATATTGATAAAATGTCCTACAAGTACAAGGTCATTTCATTGTATAGAATGCTCACTGATTTTCTTTTTTTCCTATTTTCATATCATAGTACTTATCCCTGAGAAATCATATTGCTTTTACCAGTGTTTAATTTCTCACTCATTACAATATAGAATGGCCACTTTGGACTATCAATATCATCTAATGATTTTTTGATGGCTTGATTTCGTTGATGTGGTATATATAATGATATTTCATTCTGACACCAACTATATTTCTATGAAATTCTCCTAAATATAAGTATAAACATGTTGAATCTTGCTAAAGCTCAAGCTTATGCTGAAAAATGCAGAGGAAGAGTTTTTATTCGGACCAGTCCCACTATCTACTTGTTTTGTGCCATAAAATCACTATGGAAAAGATAACTAGAAATCATTATGAAGAGATATGACTGATCCCCCATATGCCCTTGTTCAACAGGGGGACATACATTGGGATATATATTAGTGATGTTAGCCGGCTTGAGCCAATCAAATTCCATTCTCAAAAATAATAAAAAATATTCATTCATTTGTAATGCCGCCAAAAAAGGAAAAGAAAACTAATGCACAAAATAAGCAATTAATTAGTTCCAACACTCATAGCAAAGCAAATTCTTGGTCTGGTGGGTCATTGCATAACAATATTAACAATGGGTTAAATAGCAGTAGTAATATTAATAGTATTAGTAGTGGTAGTAGCAATATTAATAATTGTATTAGCAGCAGTAGTAGTAATAATCGCAGCAATGATAATAATAGTAGTAATGATAATAATAGTATTAATAATAATGAAACATTTGATTATGATAAGTTAAATAGCAATAGTATTTGTAGTAATAATAATATTAATATACTGTTTTTGAGAGAAAATTATAAACTTTTTGATCAATAAGTTGATTAATTTTTTTAATTTTTATATTAATTAATTTTTTATTATGTTTTAATTGAATTTTTCAATAAGAATAGAATAAATAATTCATTTGATCAAATGTTAGCTGGCTAGAATTTTTTACCATATTCATCAGCGTGAAAATGAATTTCTATATTAATACTAAAAATTTTGGAAACAAAATTCTAATTGGCCAATTTAAATTTCACGCACAACGTTTAGTAAAATAATAAAAAACCCCGATTTTTAATGAATTCATACAAAGTATTAGTATGTTATTTGTCTACTAAATTATTAGATAAAAAATTTATTTAAGTTCTTAGCCGGCTAAGCCGTTTATTACCTAATTTGGTAATTTTATTTCCATAACCAGAAGATAACGCGGAAATCTATTACCAAATTTAGAAATTATGTATGCAGATTATTAGCCGGCTTAGCCGGCTAAGGTTTTTCTACCGGCTAACATCACTAATATATATTAGAAGATTTGCTAAGTAAAAAACTCTCACCACATGCACCAAAGTTCTTACAAGGATTATGGCTCAACAAATACAACAAAGAATTGCAACTGGCATTTGTATTTAATGGGAAACAACATTACCATCTCAATCTGTTATTTCACCCACATGGCCATGTGGATCTAGATTCTCAAATTTTGCATGATTGAAAAAGTAGGATATTTGTACAAAGCATGGAATTACATTAATCAAAGACCATATTTTATGGATATTGAATCTTTTATATGAGAAGCTCTAATCAAGAATGGCCATCTCCAAAACTGTTCCAATTGATAATGATGTATTTCGAAGAAGCTCTTGTTTGAAGTCACATGATTCTGATCATTAACAATGTTAAAGTTTGATAGTGATATTTTTGGATAAATGAATCTGGTGGATATTTGAGATTTCCCATATCTACAATTTGCAATTCTTTCATGCTTAAATGGTTGATATGAATTTCTACCCATTAAATGTCTTGTAGATTCAACCACTTCCTTTTCAAGATAATATAAGACAGGCTGTGGTGGATTCTTCCAGTGATTGCCTTTCTGATTTGGTAGACCTGCAGTGAGAAGATTGATCAGTTGCTCTGCATGTATGACCATCTTCCAATTCTCCCGACCAATCATATTGCGAACATGTGACTCGATATCTTCCGTCCTTACATTATTACTATTATGACCTAATTATGACAATTTAAAAATGGATGTCTAAATATACTTATCACGACATTATGATATGTCAAAAGTCATAATAGTTTGGGCTGCATGTACAGTTGTTACATATCCAACTTGTTCTTCATAATCTAAAGGAATAATACTAGAGAATTACTCATAAAGTCATTAATTAGAGATATGGAAACTTATTTATATAGCAACGTGGACTTGAAATATGAATTTATTCCTAAATTTGGGAAATTAGAGAAAATTAATAACCTGTAATCACTTGTATTCATTTAACACGATTTAAATATAAAAATCAGTTGAGAATTATTATCTAGTACTGCTAGTAAAAAAGGATAATTAATCCAGCCCTTTAATTTAATATTATGATAAATTTTCGTGATATAACGAACGAAAATGAAAATTGTTGCCATCTACTCTTTCATTATCATCTCCTCCAAAAACTAACATTAACTGAGCAACATCAAGAGATGAGAAATGCAATAATTTTTAAAAATTGGTGCGCATGATGCACAATGCGCATTTTTTAAAATTTTTAATTAACGAAACAACTAAATCAGTGTAACATACTTTGTATATAACAATTTGCAATATTTTGGCAATATTTAGAAAGAATTGACAACGATACTATCTCTCTTTGGAAATTTCCGAAAGGAAAATTTTGTGAAACAAAATTGATTGCGTTGTATCTTTTAAATTAATTGGATCATTTGACCAAAAATATGAAGAAATATTTTCCCGACATTAAAAAATTTGGAATTAATCCATTATTGTTAAAGGAAAATCAATTAAGCTTTTTTTGAAAAAGATTCTTTTCTAATACTAAAATACTAATAAGAAATTGATCCATTATTGTTTTAGTATTGAACAATTGCCACTAGAAAAGCGACAATTTGAATCAATAAAGCTTTTTTTGAAAAGATTCGTCTTCTGAAAATGTAAAAAAAAAAACATAACGATTCGGAAATTAATTCATTATTATTATTATTGATTAATACTGAACCACGCCTTTTTGGAAATGCGAAAAAAACGTTATCGTTGAAGGAATTGACGAGGCTTCCTAAAAGATTAGAGGCTGTGAGCATTGATGAATTGTATTAAATTTTCTGAAAAACATTTATGCTTGTATAATGTGTTGATTACACGAACTCGCTGCAATCTTTTAAATTTATACATTATTTATTATATACATTAAACTATTCATCGCTTTCGCTATTACTACTACTATTTTAACCAATGTTATCTCACTGACCTCAATAACATTATCACTTTCATCTACATTTGTAACTTCCTTATTCAAATTTTTTTTTTTGATTTTCCAATTTATATATAAACTAACAATCAATTGTCAATCTATTTCTTTTTTTATCATGTATGTAAGAGAATGCAGACCAATTCCTCTCAGATACAGCAGATGAAGTAGGAATTAAAAGAACTCAAGTTAATAAATCAACATTATCAAACGATGACCATACTATGAATTATCAAACATTCCAGTATGTGCTTTATATTGTAGAAATTGTCCCCATTTTTACAGAATCATTCAAATAATACTTTACTATAAAATTTGATAATTATTATTGTTATTTATCAATATCCCAAAAGCAGTTTGATATGTGAGTGAAATCAATTGAGAATATAAAAAATTAATACAGTAAATAAAATTGATATTTATTTATATCAAAAATTTAAAAATTACATATCATCCATCCGAGGAATTTTGAATTTCGACAAATTTGTAAATTGATTATTAGAGTATTACATTGCTTGGGAAATATAAATACACAGTGATTTAAAACACTCTATTATTAAAATGGTAAATCAGCATTATAACCTTTAATTGTTTCAATTTTTTTAAGTTTTCTCAATCCTTTCGTAACTTGTTTAGCAGGACAATGACCTACGGGCGCATAATGTATAATAAAATCGCCTGGTAAATAACGATCAGGAAAAGTATTCATAACATGATCATCTTTCTCGATACGATAAACCTGAAATAATAATATTTATCAATTAAAAAAATTATTAATTATTACTAACAAATCAAAAATTATAGTTTTATTACCTGGTTTCCCCATTTATGTTCTTTTATCGTATCTTTTAAGGCTGCTTGTTCTATCGATCCTGAAAAGGCTCTATCAATTCTACCTTGAACGGCTCTTAAAAATCTAAAACTCCAATCTGTATTTCTAATTAAAAATACGCCAGCATTTATCATGTGGTCTCCAGCCGGTCTAGCCACAATGAAATTTATATCATTAAAATCACGTTCATCATTTTCTCCAATCATTCTTTCTTTGATCTTTTCAAATAATTGTTCAATGGAAAATATACGATTAACAAAAATTGCATCCATATCCAACCAAACCACCCATTCATAATATGGTAATATAGTTTCTACGAAATCAATTTTTCCCCATACTTTTTGACGCACACGGAATGTTTGTTGCCAGTATTCCGTAGATCTAGCCACAAATGCATAACCATGTTTATTAGCATAAACACGTTTATTATCAGCAGATAAAATACCTGCAACGTTCATACAATCGTCTGAATATAAATAGCTGCTTGTTATTATAGCTATTGAAGGTCTAGAACTTTTGTTTAAATCAACATTATTGTAACGATTTAAAGTTGTGCTGGTTTTTTTTAAATTCATTCTCGATTTACATGGTATTATTTGTTCTATTGATAAACCTGATAATAAATCTGTCATAATCCAATTCTGATAAATATTACCTATTGCAATCACATTATCTATACCAGATGATATACTGTCGATTGAATTTGGCCATTCTACAATAGCTGAATTATCATTAACTATTATAATGTCATTATCATTAATATTTATAAAATTATTATTATTATTATTTTCTATTTTATTTCTAACAAATCTTGAAACAAGATTTGTGTAATTAGCTGTAGATTCACTGATTAAAGGAACTTCCAAAATCTTTGGAATAATATTTGAACCTAAAACAGTGAACATATTGTCAGTTAAATTTGTTCTAAACGATCCCCAAATTAAATTTCGTTTATCTTTTATATTGTTGTTTCCTATCAAAGAAGTTTTCGAATATAAGACCTTTTGAAGTTTGATTAAATTTGGTAAAGTTAAGGAATCTTGAATCACCAGGAAGTCATATGATATACATAATTCATCATTTAAAGTTTGAGACTATAAAATAAATAAAAAGGTTATTTGATAATAATCAATCGGACATTTTTCCGCAAAAAATAATCTGCAACTATAACATATTTAATTTTATTGATGGGTGGGTTAGGCATATTTAGAAATTAAATTGGCGATCGCAGATGATTTTTGCGGAGTTTTTACAAATGATAAAAAAGATCCATACCCATTTTAACATTGAGGCCTGCCAATCATCAACACCATTATCAGTAATTTCTGTCAAATCATTATATTCCATTTTTTCTGCTATAAATTTTCTTGCCTTATAATCTTTAATATTTTTATCACTTTTTGCTAGGAATTGATAATAGATGTTATGAAAAGGTTGTTCGTTATTATCTTGATGCATACAGGGTATTAAATTGTCATTTATGTTGAATAACAATTTTCTCAGTAATTTTCTCCGATTAAATTCCTCAATCCTTGAAGAAATTATTAATACCAGATTATAATGGTTTGGGAAAATATTTGGATTTCTAGATAAATCTTTTTTACAATTATTAGGAAAAGGGGCGGTGTTTTCTTCAGGTGGTGGTGGCATCAGTTTCGTGGTAGTTGTATCTGTTGCAGAAACAGTGATTGGTGGATAATCATTTTCATTATTTGGAGTTTCGACTTCTTCGACAGAATAATGTTTATTGGAAATTTCTTGGACAAAAGGTGTTGACGGTATAAAATAAGATAAAGTCAATAGAAAAAAAGTAAAGGTTGCTATCAAAAACCTTCTTTTTTTAAATTGATAGGCGAATGTAGTAGTCAAATGATTATTTTGACCCATTTTATCAGACATAATATAATGTAGGGGGTTTTTCTTTTATTTCTACTGACAAAAAACTCTATCATTTTATATGAACATCAAATGAAGCGGAGTAACATTAATCTCGCGTGCTCGACGTTACATATAAATTTTACACAGTATTAGTATGGCTTAACCAAAATTGATGATAGTATAATGACAGGGCCGGGAAAATTCTATTGTATGTATATATGACTGCCAAATATATTCTACCCGTCACGTGATTAAATTTACGACATCAAATGTTGCGCCGAGTGCCAAACCCAAATCCAAAAATTAGCAATGACATTCTCTAATCAATCATTTATCGTTAGTGCCAGTATTATTAGAATTATTAGTTATAAAATTTGAGTATACGAATTATATTGAAAGTTTATTCGAATAAACAGAATAAAGTGCATAAACAAATTAAAATAACTGATAATTCGAATTCGAGCAAAACGAAATTCGAAGAAATGAGGATTTATATTACTATTACTCTAATACTCGTTCGGAACATCAAAATTAGCCATATTATTGTTGTTGTTGTTTTATTATTGTTTATTTGCTGAACAATAAATTCATTTATTTTAATGATTAAGAGTTGTTACATATTAATATACAAATATGTTGTGCGTGAATTTGTGATTTTGAAAGAGTTTGTATCCAAACACCCAAGATTTAATTAATACATTTTCAATTTGATTTTCACACTATTTTTCCAATTTTGTTCTGGTCACGTGTAGTAGTGATAGGGAAGGATAATCATGCGCCAAATCTAATAAAATCGTGCAACTTCAAACCACCAAGATTTTAAAAAATTAGAGTATTTTTTTCAATTTTATTAATAAAAAAAAAAAGCTTTGGCGCACCATATAAGAATTTCAGAAAAAAAATTTTATACGGTCTAAAGAGCACTAACGATTTCAAATTTATGTTGTGTGACTATATTATAATTTTAAAGACTTCAGATTTATGCGACAACAAACATTAAATTATTATTATGCATGCAACACTTGGCAGCAAATTGTGCGCCCTTTATTATTGTTGTTTGCGTTTATCTTTTTTTTATTATTTGGAAATTTGGATCAAATATTCTTTAAATATTAATTAAACTGTTGTTTGAATTTACCTTTTTTTATTTTTTAAATTAATGCAATTGGTACTTACTATTCATTGTATGATTTAATGTTAAATATAAAATTTATTGAAATGAGGTTTTGACTGACTGTAGGTTCACATTATCATCATCACCCACCATCACTATAATTATTGTCCATGTTACAAATAAGTAAAGGGGCAATGCAAATAAGGACAATATCCTATAATAAATAATTTCTAAATTTTGATCAGCCCTTTAAAAAAGCTATCCATCAATCCAAATACGAACAGGATATAAAGCAGATAAATTTGTGTAGTAAGATTATGCAAATTATGCAAATGAATAAACCTGGTGTTTCTATAAAAATGAGTTCTACAATTTCAAAAAATTATAGATAAAATATTATGTAAAATAAAAACAAATACAGGTTCTACTCATGCCATCTCTAGTGAAATAGTTTTCATAGGTTTTTATCACAGTCAGGTATTTTACCCAATATGGAAATCGAATGAATTTACGTGATGCTTCCATAATATGTAAACGAAAAAAAATTTTTAATAATCGAAATAAATACTATTCAATTTTCTCTCTTGTAATCACTCAATAATCACTAATAATCAGTCAAATTGCTCAAAGTATGTTGTTTTTAAAATCAAAGAAAGTTATGCACTAGGAATTTTTTTTTTAAATATGTTTTTTAATTTTTTTTGGATAAAACACAAAAACCAACTGTTAACACAACACTGGGTCCAAGATTTCAAAAAATAAATGAGTTAAAAAAGGGGAATTTCGTTAAAAGCCTTGAATTTTATACAAAAATCCTTTTAATAATACTATCGGAAGAATAGATAAAATAAAACCTCTAGTTTAAAATTAACTAAGATCTTTCACAGTAAGTTCTGGATCTCAAATATGTTAGTTTAAAAAAGAGTAATTTAAAAGGAATGATTTTGTTAACCAACTTTACAAAATTTCTTATTAATAGTAACCATAGGAATATAAATGTAAGAATTACTTAAAATAAATTTATATATATATATATATATATATATATACATACATACATATTAAGTTTATATATTTATTGTTTTATGAATTATTAAAAGTATTCTGGTTTTATACATGTATATATTCAATGGGTAAGGTGAATGATTTAATTATAATCATTGAACATACAGTACATAATATTGATTGATTATTTTTATTAAATGAGATATTAATGATATTAATGAATGATAGGTAAAGGAAAAATTTGTATATGTTAAAATCATCTACCTGATTAATATACTATATGTTAAATCACAACAGTGACATTCTCATATTGCTTAATCCTGTAATATGACCAGTTAAATCAAGCTCCCGCCATGTTTTTCTTTTTTTATTCAAAAAACGAAAAGAATTTAGCCAATCGGAATCTCTTTTCATGACGTCAATCATTACACCGGCTGAATTTAGCCAATCAAAATTTCTTCTAGAATTTTTCATAACATCGATCATTACAGTATTTAGTATTTCCATATCGAGTAAGATACCTGATTGCAATACCCACATATAAGGGATATATCACAAGCACATAGTGATATATCTTGTTCAATTTGTCATCCTATCAATTGGGATTTTTCACCACAATTTCTAATCTTTCAGGATTGGATACAAGAAACACATCAAGCAATAGAGTGTACCTCAGAAACTGTAACCACTTTTGAACAAATATTATTAGAACAAGATCCAGTTTGACTAATACAACTTGTCAGAGTATTATTAATTAATGTTAGATACAGTGTATATCCGAGAAATTTAAATACGATAGTTCAGGATTACTTTGCAGCAGCAAGAAGAACACATCACTTCAGAATAGCCTTAAACGAAGCACATCAAAGTTCTCCAGAACCCAAATGGGCTTATAATTAACTAACATGTATATAAAGAACTCGAATTTGACCTACTGTAAAAGTAAACTGCAAACAAGTTAATTAATTTCAACTAAGAAAAACTAAATAAACAAAATAATAGTAAATATTTTATTTAAACAAACTACTATCTTCCTTAACTAAAATTATTTGCTAATACCAAAATCAATTCATTGATAACCTATTCATTCTGATCTACACAAATCCAAAAATAATTGTTAAAATGCATTTCCAGAACCAGGTTGTTCTTCTGAAACAACCAAATCCTCAAAAGAACCTTCACATGAATATACAAAAGTCTAGTTAAAGTTTTTTTGTTATCTAATGTTAATTTATACCTTGAATATAATATTATTACATTCGCACATTGAATTAACCATATCATTTTTCAAAAGTTTTCATAGAACATTTGTCAATATACCAAATTGATTTTGCCAAGTCAAGTACAAACTGACAACTGATATCATGAGCCATTGTTTTCATCTAGCCATTCAACAAGTTCTGATTCTAATTGTTCAACCCATTTCTTGCTATCTAATTAAACATTGATACAAAAGATTATTAATAAATACAAATTTAATTATATGTATGTGTTTAAATTATCATACCTTTTAGAAATATTCACTCAAAGCTCTCTCATTAAATCAAATGTTTAATAAATTCCTTGTTCTTTTTGGAGTTATTTCTTGTGTCTAAGTAAAAAATACAACTTATTCCAAAAAATGAAACTACAATGCAATTTAAAGATACATTATAAAACAAAGATGTCTTTTATTGACTAAATTTAGCAAGAGCATTTAAACTTCAAAGACCAGGTTCCAAAAAAATCTTCTAAAGTTTGTTTATGATCAATTGGCAATCCTTTCAACCCAATTTAATCTTCACTATGTTCAACAGTACATTAATTATTGGCATTATATAATTATGTGACTTATACATATAATTATGGTTGGAGGAGTAAAAAATTACATGCTTAAAATATGAAGATTGTGAAACATATTTGATCAATAAAAATCTAGAATTTTATTATAAAGATATTTAATAAAAAACCAGGTCACTGAGTGATATGTGGTCTTTTCATTGAATTAATGTGTTTAAATTCAAAAGTAAGATTTTAAGGTGGTTCTTGAATATAAGAAGGGACAGTTTTTAATGATTCTAATAATTTTTTTGTAGTATTTTTTGTTTAACAATTGATAATTCATCTTCTGACTTAGACTCAGCTGTTGGTTTTACATAACCAATAGTTCTTTACTTTAACAAGAATTATATTGCCTGTAATTACTCTTTTATCCGAAAGTGCTTGATTGAACCATATCATCAATGCACAGGACACTTTTCAGCTTTATCTTTTTGTCTATTGGTATCATTAGGGTTGATGAATAGCCGTTTACCAAATGCTACAAATGGTACGTAATAAATTTAAAAATCTATATAAACGAAGTAAAATTATAACGGTATATACGCATTAGTATTAATAGTAATAAAAAAATAGGGGATGGAGCGTTGGGCAAAATTAACTTCTAATTCTAGTAACCCCTTAGAAATTTTTTATAAATGTGACCTTCATAAATTTGTCTCCCAAAATTTCATACCCTAAAATCGGTGGATATGAAAAAATATATATAATTAATGATACACTTGTAATAACTATATAATTATATATATATACATAGGGAATATTTAGAATTTTAAAAGCAATTTCCTGATGTTTTACTAAATAAATATGAGAACAATTTAATAATAAAAGAAAAGAACACTAAACCCTTTTGTAGTTGATAAATTCCAAATTGAACTTGAAAAAAAGAAAAACACATTTGATTATCCTGATGCTCTGTCAGATATGAGAATTTGCACATCTTCCGAAGAACAATTAGTATTAGGCTTCGACTTCTTATAACCGAAAAGAACGACACTGATTATACCTCTTGCTTTCTCCTTTGGCTGATTTTTTATTACATCAGGAAAATGCACAAACATTAACAGATTGACATTAAACGCAG